ATCATAAACTTATAGTGAAAGTTAAATTCTTCTCGAGGATGCATACCATATAGTCCGCTATAGGGGTACGGCGAATGTGCTTGAATGGAACGATGCCATCTTGCCCTTTCTAATAAAGGAAAGATTGGATCCGATTAGGCACTTTAATGGAATGAAGATCGACCGCCAACTCATCACAGCATTGGTAGAGCGATGGCGAAAGGAGACACATTGCTTCAATTTTCGTGAAGGCGAGTGCACCATCACACTTAAGGACATCACCATCCTAACCGATTTACCCATCAATGGCGATGTTATTTGTGTGGACTCTACTCCACCTGCTAAAGTTGTTGCCAATATGAGTGGTTGGAAGCATTTCATATCGTCTGTCACCGGGTTGTGTCCGCCAAAAAAGGGAGATCACGATGCGGATGGCAATCCACCCTTGTCCAAGGGCCAAGTATCCATCACTTGGTTGACAGCGGAGATCAGGGGTAAGCACAACCCTGAGTTCGGAGGCATTCCCCTCACGGAGGAAAGTTCGGAGTGTGATAAAAGAAATTTATGCATCCTCAACATGACCGGAGGAGTTTTCTTCCCCAAAAAATCCAACAATTTAATCAGCAATTCATGGTTGAAGATCATATTTGGAGATTGGGATGATATGGGGAACCTGAGCTGGGCATCTGCTTGCCTAGATCATATATACCGCTCCCTTGTAATTCTAGTTTGAGAGCGGTGAAGGAGATCGATGGGACTATGTTCATCGTCCAATTTTGGGTTTGAGAGCATCTGCCATGGATTGCGCCGAAGGTAGACCCCGACAAGGAATGGGGACCCGACCATCCCCTACGACATGAATCTTATGGTTGTAGGTAAACATTTTCTATCCCACTCATTGTTCTCACATTTTTTTTACTAATTCATTATTTTATAACGAAATTTTTAGTATGTATTAACATTGTGTACTTTACCATATTAATGGATCTTGGAAAGGAAGCCAGAAGGGTTGGATTGCAAGCCATGCAAAACCCTATCTTGCAACTGGAAATCTGCCTATTTTTGGCTAAGGCAGGAAGACAGTTTGAGGAAGCCACTTTGAGCTCAAATTCATGAAATTTGGGACATGGTCAACTAGAGCTTGGAGTTGGAAATGAGAGAGTGAAACTTTCTAAACCTAGGGAAGGAATTGGCTGAGCTCGAATGAACCTAGAAGGCCATTTTCCAGGAGCTAGAAGTTGGGACAAGGACTGATTACCTGGACAGTTGCTTGGCCGAGAAGGATGTTGCTTAGCTTGCAAGTTTTCGTTTTTATTTGTTTTCCTTTCCTTGTTTTGTTTGTAATGTGTTTCATTGTTCAATTAGGATTGTGATAGGTTTTCGGCTATAAATAGCCTCTTGCATTGATTGTAATACACGTTTTGAGTTTAATCGAAAAGTACTCCAAGGAGTTCGCCAGCTTGCGAGCTAAGGTTCTTGGTTGTTTGAGCCGAGAATTGCAGGCCTAGAGATCAAGACCTTCACCCTTGATCTCGAGGTAGTTTCTACCTAGACTAGCCTCTTCCCTTGTGTGTTGAAGTTGCTAGTTTAGTTTTCTTTCCTTTGATCCATCGTTCACCCTGTTTACCACTCAAATTCCCCTGTTAAGCACCTCTATCCATTCATCGAGGTCTAATTGCTGCGTAATTCTGAATTGAAGCCTTTTGGGCCTCATCAAGAGACTCACACAGAGATTAAGCAGATGAGCAATCTTGCTGTGAATTTCTACAAGGGGCTGCTTGGGGTTCCTGATCCAATGGTTTAGGATTGTCCACAGTAGTTCTTTGAGGAGCTGTTGTGTTACAAGTTAGATTCTGATGATGCTACTGTTGTGACAGCTCCTATCATTCGTGAAGAAATCAAAGCTGTCTTTTTGAATATGGGGAGAGACAAAGCTCTTGGGCCAGATGGATATATTGCTGAATTCTTCAGATATGATTGGGACATTGTTGGTAGAGAGGTGGAGAATGTGGTCTTGGAGTTTTTTAACACTGGTAATATGCCTCGCAAGGTAAACTCTACAATTAATAGAAGCCAGTCTGCTTTTGTTAAAGGAGACTAATTAGTGATAATATCCTAATGGCTACTGAACTAGTTAAAGATTATCATAGAGGCAGAATATCACCTAGGTGTGCTTTGAAGATAGACTTGATGAAAGCGTTCGATTCAGTTGAAAGGAAGTTCCTTTTTAAAGTGATGAAAGCCATGGGGATTCCTCTGACTTATGTGCGTTTGGTTGAGTATTGTGTCTCCTTAACTATGCTAAGTGTAACTTTCAATGGGGGGATGTGTGGTTATTTCCTAGCAGCAAAAGGGTTGAGACAGGGGGATCCCTTATCCCCCTATCTCTTTACAATTGCAATGGAGGTGTTCTCCTGTTTATTGAACAGAGTAGCTACAAGAGGGGTTATCCCTTTTCACCCACGTTGCAAAAGTTTAGAGATTTCCCATCTCTATTTTGCAGATGATCTGTGAGTTTTTTTCTAATGGATCATCCCAGGCTATAATGGGAATAAAACAGTTCTTAAACCAGTTTTATGAAGTCTCGGGTCTGAAATGTAACCCTCAAAAGTGCCAGCTGTTCTGTTCAGGTATCTCACAAGAAGCTAAGCTTGAGTTGTCTCAACAGTCTGGGTTTCCTTTAGGCGAACTTCCAGTTTGTTATCTTGGCATCCCTTTCTTTTCTGGAAAACTGACGTCGTTTGATTGTGAGTTTTTGGTTGATAGAATTACAAAAGGATAAACACATGGTAGGCCAGAACCCTAAGTTATGCAGGGAAATTACAGTTAATAGACTCAGTTATCACAAGTGTGTTCCAGTATAGGATTGCGATCTTTTTACTTCCATTAAAGGTACTTAAACTGATTGAGACTGCTTGCAATATGTTCTTGTGGGGTGTGGACGGTGATAGAAGAAAGAAGGCCCTGGTTTCTTGGTCTGAGGTAGCACAGAAGAAAGCAGAGGGGGTCTTGGTATCAGGGACTTCAAAACCTGGAACAAGGCCTGTGTGATTCGCCATTTGTGGAACCTTCTTGCAGAGGCTGGATCCTTGTGGGTAGCTTGGATAAACAAGTATCAAATTAAGGGGAGAAATATCTGGTCTCTCCCTGCCAGCATAGTAAATACATGGATTTGGAAGAAGTTCCTCAAATGCATATGTCTAGCACAACAGCACATATCAGGTGATGGGGAGGATTTGGCTTAGGATGGGTTCTCATCTAGATACTCTGTAAAGAGAGTATGAGAATCTATAAGAGCATCTAAACATGTTGTTCCTTGGGCTCATGTTATCTGGAACAAGCCTGTCTACCCCAAGCATTGTGTGATTTTGTGGCTAATCATTTTAGGGAGGATTAGAATAAGGGATAAATTGATTGGTTGGGGTATTGATTGTGATGAGAGCTGTGTCCTTTGCCCAGGAGGTTTCGAGAGTCGAGATCACCTATTCAGTACCTGTTCTTTTGGTATTGAAGTGATGAAGCAGATTCTATGTGCAGTGTTTGTTGTTCTTGTGTTTGCAGATTGGAGTGTGCATTTGGAGTGGGCAGAGAGAATTTGGGCAGCTCAAACTGATCGTGCTGCTGTTGGAAGGGTTTTATGGATTCTGGGCATCAGTTCGATGTGGAAGGAACGTTGTGCGAGGCTCTATGGAAACCAATCTACAAGCTCACCACAGCAGGTTGCTCAACGAGTTTTGCAGGAGTTCTCCATTTTTGCTAATGGACATACCAACTACCAGTTGAGAGTTACTAAAGTTTTGTGTTGTTGATAGTTTATTGTTGTCTTAAGTTTGCAAGTTCTAGTATGTAACACAAACATGGTTGTTTTTTGAGAAGGAAGTTGCGAGTTGCACTTCCGCGGGCTTCAATTCAATTTTGATTAACCATAAAAAAAAATTCTCAAGAACACCACAAACACCTCAACATATACCAGAAACCCTAAAATGAACACATAACTAAAAAAACTGGAAAGCACACCACAGACGCGCAAAAACAAACAACAAAACCTAGACAAAACACACACAACAAATTTGCTCTTCTTTGATGAACACAACAGTAACAATGCATGCCAGAAAATAAAAAAAAAAGAACACAACAAAACGCATACCTAAAAACTAGGGTTTATAGTGTTAATAGCAATGAGCAACAACACTTATATTGTAGTTATAGTAACACTATAAGTGGAAACTCTGAGGCGCAAAATCAGCACAAGAAACCGCTCGGAGAGAACAACGACAACAACGAAGATAAAAAATTGCTATAGCCGAAGGAGACGAAACCACGTAGAGGAAATTGGGAAGAAGGGAAAAGTTGAAACTGAAATGACATTGAACATTACCATGCACAATTTTTGCTAATTTAATATTAACTTTAAATTGGGCTAAATTATATTATTATCCTTAATAAGTGTTGTTGTCACGATAACAAGACTCATTGTTGTGATTCTATCCGTAGCCTAATATCATGGCCCTGACTCAACACCCATCGGCTGGTCATTGCAGAGGTGATTGGAATTTGTAACAACATCTGAGGGCCAAATCGAGAAACTCTTAACTGGACATTCACGCCGTAAAAACTTGCAAGCCCACACATGCAAGGAGAAAGTATGAAATGGAGAAGCTTAAATATGACATGAATAGAAGTTAAATGACCAAAAGGTACTATTATCATTTTTGTAATTGCAAAATCGGCAGGTGAAAGGGGGAAAGGGAAAAAAACTCCGCCTCCCAGGCCAACCAGCCCCACCCCTTCGATCGATCGATCCCGCCCCTCAATTCGCGCCTTGGCGTGCAAAATTATCACGACGGCGCTTCTTCTTTTCAATCTCCTTCCCTCGATTCGCTCCGCCTAGGGTTCCAATATCTTTGCACCCAGATTCTCACATTTCAATCCTTCGAATTTGTTTCTCCTATTTTCTCTTTGAATTCCCAATTCAACCCGTTCCATATCCCTCATCGATCCTCCGGCCCGCTTCATCTAGAATGCCGCCGTTCAGCTCCACGTCCAAGGCGCTCCGGTCTCTATTAGCCCGTTCTGGTCGCTCAGGACATTTCGCGGTCGCCCCACCCAAGCACAATCAAATTCGGCGCTCCAGAAGCGTTGCCGGAGTCTCGGCTCCATCCAGTGTAATCGATTGCCGGGGTGATTTCAGCTCGACGTTATTGGGGAGTTCGTATAGCGGTAGCTCTGCGGTGCAGCGGAGGCGATTCCTCGGATGCGGAGACGGGGAAGAAGGTGGTGTTTTGTCCAAGGTTTACGAAGAGAGACGCGTCTTAGGGTGAACTTTCTTTATGTTTTTTGATCTCACCAGTCTCTAGTCCTGTTTTCTGTTCTTTTAGCTTGTCATTTGTGTTGATAGCAACTTTTCTTTCGCCTGTTGCAGGTATTCTCCGGAGCAATTGTTTGACGTGGTGGCCGCGGTGGACTTGTATCATGGGTTCGTGCCCTGGTGCCAGCGGTCTGATGTTATCAAACGTTACCCGGATGGATCATTTGATGCCGAGCTGGAGATTGGGTTCAAATTTCTGGTTGAGAGCTACGTTTCTCACGTTGAATTGAAGAGACCAAAGATGCTCAAGGTATGCATTTTATGGCTTTTCTTACGAGGTTTTGTTCGCTTCAATTTCACTATGGGATAAGAGGAACTTCGAAATGAGTTAAAGTTTTCCTTTTTGTGCTTTAGTTGATCGACAATCATCTGGGTTGGATCCACATGTCGTGAATCCTAGATATTCATTAGGACCCTCCGAATTTGTATGGATTTGTTTAAGGAAGTTATATTCTGAATTTAGTTTATCTTTCAGAACCACATTAAAACTTTGAGAAGCTTAAATGAAATTCTAAAGTCCAGGTTCACGCATGAGTTGAGTTGGTGTGTCCCTAGCAGTTTCTTTTTCAAGTTACCGACAGATTCTAGCACACTGTACTTGTTATTTATGATAGTCCTATTGATTTTGTAGTTTCCAGCTTATAATGTCGAATGGTAGGATTTGGTTGCTAAGCTTAACTATTAGTTCCCAAATTCATTCTGCTTGTACAACTGTACAACTGTACAATGTTCATGTTGGGTTCTTACTTGCAGACTACTGCATCCCAGAGCGGCCTTTTTGATCACTTGATAAACATATGGGAGTTTAATCCAGGACCTGTTCCAGGCAGCTGCGATCTTTACTTTTTAGTAGATTTTAAGTTTCAGTCACCACTCTACAGACAGGTAAGCACAATTTGCTTTCAAAGTCTCAAACTTTTTCTATTTTAAATTTTGGCACATCTCATCGTGCATATTCACTCATTCAATAAAGCGCTTCCAACATGTCCATGCAATCACTGTCATTCCATAGAAATATGCAAGTAATTATTGGGCAATCGATGAACTAGTTTATCCGAAGGCAGGATACCAACTGTTAGCATGAACTAGTTAGGTGAAACTTTGAACACCAGCAGAATGTGGTTTTATTTAGGAAGAGTGAAATGCGATTCTCAGATGATATCCATAGGAGATTGATAGGTCCGACCTCCTCCCTTAAAAGCTATTTGCTGTAGATCGTGCTTAATGTTTACTTGTTTCTGTGGATCTAATTTATGAAAGTGAAGTGTACTGGGATGCAGTGAACTAGGGACAAATGCGTAACAGTCACAATATAATATGGAACTTTGGGAATTTATCTATGGCCTAATATTTGGTGCTACTCTTTGCCCTAGTGCTTGTCAGCATATCTTCATGTTAAACATGTTAGTGGTTTAGGTGAAAGATGTTACTGTCATTCTGATAGATCTGTATACAATGATTTCAAATGTCTCAGTTGTGTAAATGATACCTTAGCATTTTGTTGTGACATGACTTCCTGTAACTTCATTTAGTTTCCAGGCTTACCCAGTTGGATATACTATATAGGTGTTTAATTCTTTGCTTTAATGTCTGTATCTTCGATACTGCACTGGGAATGGGTATGTCATTGTGAGTTTGTACTTCAAATTTGGCACGTTGTAATGTACTTGGGAGTGCATGCCACATACTTAAGATAATTAGGAGATAAATGATTTTCTTATGAAAGTGAGTACCCATGCTATGATCCAGCAATATGTGGCTTTTATTCCCCTTCAGCACTCATTGCCCTGCTATGTTAATTATGAAGGAGTTGGTACGAAGTATCTGAGATTCAGCAGATTTTTCCAATCTACCTTGTTGAGAACACTTATTTAGTAGCCAATTCAAATATTTCCGCTATTTAATTTGTTTGCCTGGCCCCTCAACTGGCCTCCTTGTAGTATATCAACATTTCTAATACATTTGATAGAATATGTACCTCTGATTCTTTATAAGAGGGAGAAAAGGTGGCTCTTCTTTTTGCTATTAGTAGTCCTCTCTCTCTCTCTCTCTCGCTCTCTCTTATGTATATGCTTCTGTGCAAGCTCCACCAGTCTGTAGCTTGTAGCACTCTGTTTCTCTGAAAATGTGATTTGTTAGAATGATAAGTAGAAGATTGGAAATTGCATGCCGGTAATCTCACTACTCATACTGATGTGGAAGATGACCTAACTTTTCTTCTGGTTCATGATCTCCTCAGCATCTCACATTCGTGTCTCCATACCTTGGTGACACCTTAGGAAGATGGTCATAACATGGATATGTGATGCTTCTTGATAATCCGTTGAGTAGGCATGTGCTTCCAGAGAAATATACAAATTTAGTGACTGTCTACCAGGGGCTAGCATTCTCTTAATGTTATGTTGCATATTGATGTTTTTGGATTGCCTCTTCTAATGACTAAATATTTTTGCTGATGAATTTGCACCAATTTGCTATGAAGGAGCTGGGAGTTTTAAAATTCGCATCATTGATTTCTGTTAATTCCTTTGTTTGGACAGGTTGCATGCATGTTTTTCAAGGAGGTGGTATCCCGTTTAGTTGGTTCGTTCAGTGACCGCTGTCGTTTGATATATGGACCGGGAGTCCGAGTCCTTGATAACTCCTATGAGCACAAGGCATGAAAAAAGCTTCTCTCTTCTAACCAGAACCCGATATATACTGAAAAGAACCCCTTGTCCATCAAGTCTTAGGTCGATAAAAAATGAACATTCTGAGCACATGAAGTGGTTGCTCTTGTTTTCTTGTATTCCCAGCCTCTCTTTCCATCTCATTGATTGTAATCCCAAGGCTATAAGTAGGCAAATTTTTACTCAATTCAGATGTATGATTTATCGCGGAATGAAATGAAAAAGTCAGCGGATTTTCACTTGACTGTTCTTGATTCACGCACCAATTTACCAGTAAGCTATATTCATGCCTTTTGTCTGGCTGCTAAGCAGACCTTGATGAAGAAGCAGGTATAGAGGGAGCCCTTCTGCAGAGGAAGCAAACGATAAAATGTCATCAAGCTGATAAGGTTGCTTTCAGTCAATTCTTCTTATTAGGTAAGGATACTCTTCACTTCACTTCTCTCCTTTCTTTTGTTTTTGTGCTTTGTGATAAATGACATGGAAAGGAAAAGTAAAAGAATGCTTGAGATAAGAGTTTGGTAATGGATGACAGACCATACACAAGATTTTTAGGGGGAAAAAAGGAAGAAAAGGAGGAAACAAGTTTAAGGACAGTGTTGACTTGCTGGGATGACTGATGTCGAAATTATGGTTAGGAACAGTTTCAACTTTTATTCTAATCCTTTGAAAGATAAGAGTTGTGCTATAGATTTGCATGCAAGAAATGACCTACTGATATGGTAGTAGCAGTACAATGTGAGACATAATAAGACACAATCAGTGAGCTTCTCACATATTGAATTAGTGGAAGCAGAAAAAGGGGGGCATCTTAATCTTTCGACATATCGATACAATGATGATGGTGTGGTGTTTGTTGATGATGTTGATCATTGATCATTTTGCTTCTGAGATTCCAAGGAAATAATTGAATTTCACTTTTAGGGATACTCCCAGCTGGAAGGACAATTGGTGTCTGATTGTGATATTGAAATGTGTGGTAGGGTCCTTGTAGCTATAAGTCGACCCTTAGGAAGGAGCAAAGGGGGGAATGATTTGATACTGATATTTTATCTATGTATGCTCAGCTTGTATTGCAGCCATGAATTACAGCTGGGATGGCTCTTCCATCTTGGAATAGAGATTGATCTGTGAAATCAAAATCTCTGTCATTGTACGTGTCTCTCCCTATCTATATTCTCCCTTTTTCCCCACAACATCTCTTATTACACAAAGAAGGATGGAAATTGAATTTTTTTTTGGATGAATCAGCCTTTCTCCTTTCCCCCTTTTGCTCATCATCTTTCTTCCTACGTGCACTAAATCCAAACCTAGAAAGAAAGAAGCAAATCCTTAATGGGAGAGATCATGACATCCTTAGAAGCAAATTCATAACTTTGGCCTCCCTCCCCTCTTTGGTGGTTTGGTTTGTATAAGTTTACTTAGTGGTGATTGTGGTTGAGGCTTTGACTTGTCATGTTGGAGTGATTGGTGATATAATATCCCGACCTCTCCTGACCATGATATTGTTCGCTTTGAGGCCACCCCTGCACGGGATGTTACAAGTGAGTGATATGGTCCACCACCACCAACACTTATTTAGTTAATAGTGAACCGTTAGTAGTCCTACTTAGTGCTTTGAACAGTTTTCTTCTCCTGGAGTGCAATGCACAAGACTTTCTGCCTCTTATCTTGCTTGAAAGTTTGATTTTGTTGGCAGCCATTTATCTATTCATGGAATTAGCGGCAATAACAGGATTAGTAACTGTTTTCGATGGCGAATCTCATGACCCTTACAGGTTGGTATGAGATGATTTAAACGTTGGTCTTGATGAGGTGAGCAGGTTTGGAGATTGTGGCATTTGTGAGATGATGAGCTTGTGGAGTGAACTAAAAGAGGGAAAGGAGATAAGAGCCTTGGCCGACTTGGGTTGTTTGTGGGATATCCAGAATCATGGAGGGAAGAAAATAGAAATAAAAACAAAAAAAGAAAATAGAACAAAGGGATATTGCCATATTGGAATGAAAAATTACACTATTAAAAAGTCAAAAAGAAATTTCGCTTTATTGTTATTATTTTCGTCTTTTCTTCTCCCTCAGCTGGGCCACAAATAATTGGCCCATGCCGTCACTAGTGACCATACCCACCACCTTAAGCTCTCCTAATAATGTGACTGAGAGAGACAAAAGCCAGGAGAGCGAACAAAATTAGATACCTAGTAGTTTTGGTTGTAAACAATGGATGCTTGATATTGCAGGTAATAACTTAAGCAGTGCTATAGCTAACACGTTAATTATTTCGTCGAAGAAGGACGTTCGCAAGAATGAAACTCAACGAAATTGGTAGGCATTAAGGTATGCACAAGTGAATTTCATTGGAGACCTTTAGGAGTTAGTCCTCAAATTGTTATATTTTATCCATTTTGTCATTTAATGACGTATAATTAGATCTTAATAAATAAATATTTGAAATTTGACATGTCAAAACAAACACTTTGTAGTAACAACTAACAGCACTAATTGTATATTATAATATCATCAAATTAGGAAGCGTTGGTATAAAATAGTGATTCACCACAGAATATTGTCTAGTAAAATAACGAGCCTAGACCCGGTTTAAAAGATATGAATATTACTTCGATCTCGGCGTTTAATCTTCATTTTAGGTCACTAGTCACTCTAGGTATCTTGTACTGTAATTAACATGTTCTACAAGAAAAATGCACTTTGCTTGGAAGTAGAAGCTATTTTAACTTGCAAAGCAAAAAGTGTTTTTTTCGTTAACTCTATAGGGTTAACTCTATAGGGTTATTATGATGCTCTATTATGCAGTCTTATCAAATATGTTAAGATATTATTTTCTTATATCAAATATATTTATGTAGAAAATTTATCAAACAAGTATTTTTATTAGAACATCCCTCCAAAAATCGTCAACCATGGGTTGTCATGGTTGACATGCAACCACCCAAATAAGTATGGGTAGTAGGATCAACGATCCATCTATATCAATCGTCCACTCAATACGGCTCGAAATTATTTATGGGTAAATCAATGTGAAACTGTGTATTAACTATCCATGTGACCACTCTAACCTGAGGCATCATTGTATAGAGGTAGTTAGACAAGGAAATTCACTCACGAAATTCACTATTGAATGGATTAGAACTTAGAAGGGGGTGTGGGGTTATGGGGCAGGCAAATGGAATCTTGGTGGGTTAGACTCTAGGAGATGGCAAACAGTCGAGAGTCGAGACTTGGCAAAATATAATAATATAGGATGCCAACAAAAACAAAGGGGCAAGTGTATATAAATGAAAAGGATGTGGGTTGTACTTAGTTTTAACTTTTAGGTACCATCCGTACCCTCCCTCAAAAATAGCCCCTTGGTCTAAAATCTCATGCCTTCCCCTCTATAGTATAATAGTACAGTACAAACCCGCCTTGTAGGGTCATTTTGCCCTAATTAGGGCCGGAAGTTTGGTAATGTTATTTGGGATATACCAAATAGTGTATCGAATTTATTTATATTTGATATTATCGAATATGTGTATTATTTCTTGAAATTGTGATTGAATTTCAATTGTTATTCAGTATTAGGAATTACGGGATTGAGATCGGTATATACCGAAATACCAACCAATATTGAAATATAAGATAGTGTGTATTTTATCCTCTCAACTAGACTCTCTCATTCACTACTACACGACCCTCAACCACCAAGAGTGTAATTTAATTATACATAGATCATTCCATCACTGTTGACAACTTAGAAGTCCTCATCCAACTCCAATTTGACTTTCCAATTTAAGTCACTCTCGTCTCTCACCTAATCTCTAGTTATTTTCATAACACCAAAAAGCAAACACTAGTAATAGTTGTCTCTCAAACTCTAATTCGTCAAATTAAAGATTACCAATGACAATAACTTGAGATGTCTCCTCTCCTCCATTCTCCTCAATAATATATAATAGCTGTAGGCAAACTCATGACTTTTTGCTTAGGGGTCGTTTGGAAGTTGTGATTGTTAAAGTTGTGTTTGTTGAATACATGTATTGTGCACAATACAATGTTTGGAAGTGCCAAAGTGTAAAACAATGCATGCATTGTTTTCGGTAGGTCCCACCAACAATCACAAAAAATGATGCATTGTACAATCTCAACTAAAAGTTGAGATTGTTGTGATTGTTGCTTTTAGATTTGTGTAAACTTTTTCTTTCCATTTATATCCCTAAAAGTTTTTGTCTTATACTAAAAGTTGAGGGTAAATATGGCATTTCCCCATAAAAGTAACTTTATGTAAATTAATGCATAAAGTAGAATCTCAACAACCAAACAATGTATTGTTAAAATGCATCCATTGTATCAATACATGCATTTGTATTATAGTGATTCATCACAATGCAACGATTTAACATTCGCAACTTCCAAACGACCCCTTAGTCTCTTTGCCCTAAATTAAACAATAAATCTAATTTATATATTTAATTATTAATTACAAAGGTAATTAATTTCGTATTAGATAATACCGATTGGGATACTGAAGTGTCGATTGGGATACCGAAATATTTAGGAATTGGGATTGAGTTACCAAAATTATTTAGAGATTGAGATTGTGATTGTTTTTAGGGTGTAATTCGATATTCGGGATTTGAAATTTGGTACTGGGATATCGATACGGTACCGATTTCCACACCTTGCCCTAACAACTAAAGGAATCATTCAAAAATATTTTGAACCAATATTGGTCGAGTGGTTGCAGGAAGAGTCCCAGTACTACTACAGTCTACAGCTGCATTCTTTGACCAATCAATATCATAATGGATATACTGGAAAAGGGCAAACTATACGTGTTAATTCCTGCGACATGAAATACATAAGTAAAGTAAAAAAACTCGAGATCGACGACGTGGCGTAATATTTAGAGCCCCAAGAAAGGTTTCCACGATCCATATCTCCTCCATGGATATGTGAATCATGTATATCCGATCCGCAGTGTATCTCTCGTGCATAGA